CCCATGCTTACCGCTTGCTCTAAGCCTATTACGGATAGTGTATACTGATGGGGCGTCTTTATCTTCTTGCAGTAAGTCTGAGCGAATTTCGTTTAATTTTGTTTTTTGTTTTGTTATGTGATGAATACTTAAGAAAAAATTATATGGATTTTTTTGCAATAGATTTCGCACCAAATTTAAATGATTGTAGATAAAAAATATGCAAAAGCCACATGCATTTGTTGTAAAATATACTAAATTAGGTGCAGTAAATATGCAAAAACAGTTATTTTTTGCAACATAATGCATTTACTGCGAAATATGCAATAATATGCATTGACGATTGAATGCCATATTAAAAGAAATTTCGTGATTCGTAAAGATAACTTAACTATATCGATTTTAACATGAACAAAAAAAAAAACAGACAACTAAACAAAATTCGATAACTCGACTAATTTCGATAACTGTGGAATTCGAGGGCTCGATAAATTTCGATAATTCAAGAATGTGTATATCTTTATAAATTTTTAATTTTGACAGCTCCACATTTTTCGAAAGCTATCGAAAAATTTCGAATATCGTTACACTATGTTAACACGATAAAATTCGATAAGCAGTGATAACTCGATAAACTTATAAAAACTTTTATAAGCTGAGGATGGGAGCATATACAATGGGCCAACTTATTTTGCTGCGGTTGTCTCCCGCCCTTTTGAAAAAAAAAACGGAATGCACTGACGTTTGCCGTGGTCGTCATCAAAACAAGGGGGTCTCATCCGGGGCATGTTTGAATTTTTCATTGGGCGTGGTTTTAACTTGGCGTGACCCAAACCCAGCGCACGCGAAGTTTTACGCTTTCTCACTTTAGCTCGCTCCCAAAGTGGTGCCTGGTCGCTACCCAGAGGAGACGTGGATACATGGGCGTAGTCAGGTAGGGGCAGGGGGGTGCTCGAGGCTCCCCCCTAACTTTAAAATTTTCCCTATATATATATATATATATATATATCATAGTAACCTGAAGTGCCAGCTTAATAGGGTCGAGCCCCCCCTAAATTTCATTCTGACTACGCCGCTGCGTGGATATAAATATCCGGACGTTGTGAGCTGCGATTTGAACCGTACGCACAAGAATCACTTCTGGCCACTCACGGGTTCATGGCACCATTTTTCACCTTAGCTGGTCATAACTCAGTCTTCATCACTTTCTTGTAATCATCACCACAAACACCAAGCTTGAAGTTTCCGTACATTAGTGAATCCATATTGGCATCCTTTTTCACCAATTTGTAGCATGCTACTAATTTCTCGTCTTTCTTACCATGTTTCACAACATAATCAATTATGTTATTGTTGTTGTTGTAGTGGCTACTCCCCCCTGCCTATATCGGTTTGTCCCTCAATTATTGTCTCCTCTCTCTCCGAGTTCCGGGCACTCATTGGCTCCCTCACTGGGAGCATTTGAGCCTCGTCGTGAAGGTGGTGCTGTGGCGACATCAGAAGGCATCCATTTGCTGTCTGGAGTGCCGTGTTCTGGCATGTCTGTAGCTTCGTCCAATACGTCCTGCTAGTCCTCGGCGACCACATGGGCGCTGCATAGTTTGAAACAGGCCATTGCCTCGTATGTTGTCAACAACACTTCTTTGTCATAGCCATAGACGTGAGTTCCCAGCTGTAGTCTGATCTCCTTCGTCCAGGTGGTAAAAAGGGTTGCCGAGTATTTCATGGGGAGAAGGTTAGGCTCCTTGCATTGAAGAAGCGGGTGAAGAAGTTCGGAGGGGTAACCGTTTGCTTTCGAGCACAAGTCATCAAAGGATACCACCCTGTGGTTGTTGTTGTAGCGCCTACAACAACCCCGCCCAGACCGGTTAATATCTCAATCTCAGCTCAACTAACGGAAGCCCTAACAAACGTGCAGACACAATCGGGTCGGTCCACAGGGACAGACGCGGTAGCATTGTCGTGTTTTCCGGGCATGCGAAGAGATGTTTCGAGTCGTGGGGTGTCTCTCCGCATGCTCGACGCTCATTTGGCACATTTGCGCCTAATCTGCTCAGGTATGAGTTTAACCTGCTGCAGTAGCCAGAGCGAAGTTGGGCTATTGTGGTTCTAGCCTCCCCAGGCAGATGAAGCTCCGTCTCGGCGATGTCCGGTGGTTGTGCGCCTAGAACGGCATTCACAGGTTTGGAGTCTACATAACTCGAGACTGACTCGCTGTGAGTGTCGCTCAGGGCCTGTCGATAAGCTGACGGGTCCAGAGGTTGTTTACTTAACCTTTGGACTTCGTCCGTCAGTTCATAGAGATGCCTCCTGATGTGCTCTTCGATGGCTCTTCTACAAGCAGTTGTCTATTTGGGTGACCACGTCTGTGGCTCCCAACTAAAAACTGCTTGTAGAGCATTGTGTTGTGCTCCTTTATGGGGAGCATTTTCGCCTCGTCGTGCAGGTGGTGTTCTGGCGACATCAGAAGGCATCCAGTCGCTGTCCGAAGTGCAGTGTTTTCCCCCAGTCCCCAGCGACCACACTGGTGCTGCGTAATTTAAAACCGGCCGGCCAATTGCAACGTTTCCCCAAGTACTTCCGGCTAGCGACTTGAGGCCCTTGTTGCGGCTCTGTACTTTGTTGACAATAGCGGTTGCGTGCGCAGAGAAGGAGAGCAGACTGTCGAAGGTTACTCCCAGTATTTTGGGGGTTTTCACCGTTGGGATTGGTGTATCATCGACGTGAATTCCCAGCGGTAGTCTGACCTCCTTCGTCCAGGTGGTGGACAAGGTCGCAGAGGATTTTGTAGGGGAGAGGGTTAGGCTCCTAGCAGTGAAGAAGCAAGAAAGCTTGGAGAGATATCCGTTTACTTTCGTATACAACTCATCAATTGCATTCTTAGACGCCATTATCGAACAATTTTCAGCGTAACAGACAATCGAGACTCCCTCTGGTGGTTGAGGGAGCTTGGAAATATAATAGTTAAATAGGAATGCGGAAAGGACACCACCCCGGGGAACCCCTTTGGCAGGTCCAACGCTACTAAAAAAGTTCTCTCACTGGGGCGGTTGCGATTTAGGCTACGTGTTATATGAGTGTTTATGGCGTTAAGTGCTGTTGTTGTGCTGTGCACTTTAGGGAAACCCGGCTGATGCTTCGCTGGGGTCAGCTGGTTCGAAAAACGTTTAATTGCTGTGCAACTTCGTCTCTTGGACCGCAGCTATCAATATACCACGCCTTCCCATGATGGTTATCTCCTGGATTTTGCTCTGAAGTCCATTACAGTTAATTGAAGGAGCTTCATGTGGTTCGGGAGACGTGTTGTTGTGCGGGGTGTGAGGGATGTGTGTTGCCCTGCCACCATTGGCTGTGTGCGCTGCTGTGGAGGATGCCGCCCTGTGGTGGTGCAGAGCAACACGGGCCTTCGAAGTTCCTCGTCCAATCTCGCGTGGTGCGCAGACCTGAACATGCCCTAAAGTGGCACCAGCAAAGGCAGATGTTGCACTTGACTGATGTCACATTCCGGAATATCCTGGTCTGACATACCGTGCAGATTGTGGGAGGAACCAGGAGTTGTTGGTGGCGGCGTGTGGATGGTGGTGCGTTTGTGTGGTCTGTCGTGGTTGTGGTGTAGTCTATTGTGTTGTTGTGTTGTGGTGTTTGTGTTGAGCTGTTGAGCGAGGTGACTCCACCCGGCGCAAGCAATGCACTTGACTGAGGTGGAGTTGTGGTGTAGTCGTCTTTGGCATACACAGCAGGTGTAAGTTTCTGGCTCTGGGTTTGACTCGATGCCAGCCCTGAGCAGAAGAATACGTAGCAAATGTAGTCCTATGGGCGAACCACTTCTGGGATACTTCGCCGACCTAAACGGGGTTAGATCGCCGAAACAACAGCCCTTGGTCGGGTAAAACCCGAGTCATTCCGGTACGTAGAACCGGCTGTAGTGGGAAGCCACAGAACTGGACACTTGCTTACAGAGGAGCCCCCGCCAAGGCATGCCAGAAGCATCTATACGAACTGACGGACGAAGTTCACAGGTTCATAAAGCAACTTCTGGACCCGTCGCAATATTGACAGGCCCTGAGCGGCATTCATAGGGAGTCAATCTCAAGTTACGTAGGCTGCAGACCTGTGAATGCCGTTCTGGGTAAACAACCACCTTACATAGACGAGACGGAGCTTCGTCTGCCTCGGGAGACTAGGACCACAATAGCCCAACCCCGCTCTGGCTACTACAGCAGATTGAAATCATACCTCAGCAGATTAGATGGAGATGCACCGGGAAAACCCCACAAAGCTAACGCCTCTGTCCCTGTGGACAGACCCTATAGAGGCTGCACGCTTCTTGGGACGACAACGACTGAGATACTAGCCGATCTGGGCGGGGCTTTGTTGCCGCTACGACAACAACAACAACAATTACAATCGGTTCCCAAACAAAGAAATTATGGCCAGGGATAATGTACAAAAACAAAAAAAGAAAGCCAATTTTAGATTTTTGTATGTCATTCTTTTTTTATTTTAATTTTTTTTTTGTATTTCACACGCCCACTGTGTGTAGACTATTTTTTTACACTTAAGATACCTGAAGGAACGACAAAATATACGTAAATGTTGTTTTTGCTCTAATGCCACTACCTGCACGGAAACCCAAACTAAAAAATGACTTTCTTCAAGCGATTTGTTTGTTCATCAGAGTGGCAATCAACTATATGGAAAGTTTTAAGTTTAACGTTTGTTGGGTCGCACTTACTAAACTGGTATATGTATGTACATATGTATATCCAGCTCAATTGGATTCGGTTATCACATCGCGTATCGTACCACTCTAATGTACCGAATAGCCTGAGGCACGCCCCTTTAGTTTACTATAATATGTTGCATCACATACATATGTATGTAGGTGCAATGAACCTTTTAGCAAAAGACCTCATTTATTTTTTACAGATCCTTCTTTCGCACACTAAATTTTTTTTTTTGTATATATGCTCCTTTGGCCTTATGGCCTCATATGTGAGTTTAGTAAATGCATTTCTCTATAGTTTTATATGTATCTAAATTTTTTATTTGACTCTATGAACTGAAGATGACTGAAGACTTATTTCGTTTATAGTCTGGTATGTCAAATTTTTACAGCAATGTGTTCTATTTTATGGGTTGAATACGAATGGATAAAGGTACCAAAAACTTCATATGTTGGGTTCCTAAAAATCTGTTTAGCTGGTGGTAATTTTAGATAATTCCTCCTGTAATTCAAGTGTGTCGATTGACTCCTTCACAGCTGAAGTACTGGCCGAAGTAGATGCATTGGAAATAGGTCGAGCGCATGTCTTTTTGTGCATAAACCAGTGCAAACGTTGACACTCACGATCGCAATATTTTACCTGTTTGCATTTCGAGCATTTCTTGTCAGGTTTCTCATTTCCACACGAACTACAATAAGATGTCTCATCCTATACATAAAATAGAATAAATACCACTTTAATAGACACGAATTTACTTATACATTGTAAAATTTTAAAGAATTATTACCGCAAAACCTCGATGACCGTTAACAGCATTGCGAAAGACCAATAATGCTGGTTGCGGATCCTTTGCTGCCAATTGCGAAACCACTTGTCGAAAGACTGTACATTCCCTGAAAGGGAACTCTCGCACACAATCGCGTAGAGTAAACTCTAGGTAGTCTAGTTGACCAACTTTATTCTCTTTTAGAACACGTTTTATGAATAACTCCACAAAATCATGCTTTCCGGCATCTCCTTCAGTGGGTTTTTCTTTCCGTTGAGCTTTACACTGCTCTTCACATCGCATTAACTCGGACACAATCCACCGAAGATAGTGAAATTTAAAAGCCATTAATTCATTTACATCATTCGCTTTCTTCATTTCCTTTTCACACATATACTCCAGAGCTTTTTTCAATCCCGGCAAGTTTTTAAGTAGGCCTAATGATTGTAAATTAAGGGCAATGCGCACTGGATGTAAATTAATTTCTATGATAAAATGATGAAATGCATCCAACAGTCCCGCGGGTATCAATGGCTCTTTAAGTTGGCCTTGTGGTCTTGTATAGTACTCTAATGTTTTTCGCGGTACATAGTTGTTGATCGTTTCCACGCAGGAATGATTACCAACAAAAGCTGCCATTTGTGACGCTGTTCGTGAAACGCTGTTTAATCTGCTGGGATTTATGCCAGCATCCAGAATCAAACGGCACACCTCTGTGTTGCCTGATAGAGCAGCAAAATGCAGTGGTGTATAGTCCGCACCGTGTTTATTAAAGTTTATATCAGCACCCTGAAAACATAAAATATTAACACAGCACGTGCACTATGGAATGTTGCGCTCACCATGTCTAACAGTATCTGCACAGCTTCTCTGTTACCCTTGCAACAAGCATGCTGAAGCGGAGTCATCCCATCCTCGTCTACAAAATCCACACAACCTTTTAGTTGGGTTATCTGCTGCTTAAAACCATCCACGTCGTTTTTGGCGATTCTCTCGAATATCTGCCGCTGCACATCGTCTAACTGGTTTTTACTTTCTTGTTCCATCGTTGGGCCTAAATGAAATATCAATCCGAAATCGTTTCAATATATCCAGAATATACCACGGGTTCAATTATGTATAGAAAATGGCAAGGACTTCCAACAAATATTAAAATGCGAAAATAGCACCAAAGAATCAGTAGAAACAGAATAATAATAATGGAAAGTTAAAAAACAAGAATGAATGTCAGAACAGGGATAGATCACAAAACTTCCACTGGAATGCACTACCGGACGCCACTGGAATGCACTACCTTAAGTATAGGGTGATAAACACGGCGAAAACAAATTGCTTCTTCTTCTTTTCGCCGTGGCAAAAAGGGTACAAAAATTACTCGTTGGCAGGCAACATTGTTCATTCGCAGCGGGGGTTATTAGTAGAAATGGGTAACTCAACTCAGAGATGAGTTATTGAGTTGATTCCCATAAGTGAATCGGAATCTCAGACTCCCTATCCAAAAAAAATGTAACTCAGTAACTCAGTTGATGCCCTAGGGCTCACATTAGGAATGTCAGTGGCAAAAATACATCGATGTTTTTCTTTGATTCGATGCATCGAAATGTACATCGATATTTTTCGATGCATCGAAGGGCATACATCAATGCATCGATTTGCATAGGATTTTCCACCTTTACCCTCCTCCTAGCATTTACAGCTTTCAAATCAGTAGAAAGGAGCTGACCACGCCCCATCTAATGTTTTGTTTTACCTCAACGGCCGCATTTATGCCTCAAAACGAGTCTACGATACCAATGAGAGTAACATACAAAGAGTCAAATGAGTTAGTTGAATGAGCTGACTGCTTAAAGTGAATTGGGGTCATTGAGTCAACTCCTATAAATTTGCTGAGTTAACCCCCCCTTAGTAATTAGCAAATTTTCTTTGCTCAATTACTCTAGCAAATCAATGAGTTAACCCAATAGAATTATGACTCACTTTGTAAGTACATCGCGTTGTGGAACTACGGCAGCACCAAGGTGTATTAAACAAGGTGGTGTTGGGGCGACAGCTGAGTTTTTCGCCGTGGAGGCCATTACGTCAAAATGATGTGTTTGTTGTAACTCATACCAATGAAAGTATGGACCTCAGCGTATAATTTGTTAGTGTAACTTTTTACTTATATACGGCCAACACCATTTTGTTAAATGCGCCTTGGGTAGCACTGTCAATGTGTGGGGTTGCACAACTGATATTGAAGTCACAGCAAACGTGAAGAGCGCACAAACGAAAACTTACAATATATATTTTCTCCTTTTTTTTATTTGACTATCAATTATCATGCCTTACATAACCAACCATCTCTCCTCAAATTAATCTAACAGAGTACCCCTTCCACATTTGCTGTTGACACCACATTGAAAATCTTCAAGTGCTGACAGATGTCTTCTTAGTGACGATATTTTATATGGAATTTTGGATTAAATTTAATATCTCTCGGTTAAGATTATTTTGACATATTTGGAAAATAAGTCTTCATTTTGAAGATGAATCTTATTATCTGGTAACAATAGTAACATCTTGTATGAATTCACCTTGCAAATAAGTTATATGATATAATAGCGCTATTGAGTCTCAATTTTTTGTATGAGTCTTTGATGAGTCGAACGTGATTGTTTTTCTGGGCGAAGCTCACTATGTAACTCAGTGCAGAGTAACCCATCTCTATTCGTTCTACCTTCGAGTTCGCCGCTATTTTGTTAGTTAATTTTTTGCAGCAAAGTGGATGAGTTGGTTTTATTGGTGTAATTTGCGAGCGTTTACAAATTAATTTTGTGCAAAGAAAAGTGAATAAAGTAAATGTTATTGTGGATTTATGGGTATATGATTTAAATATGGGCTATTGCCAACGATAGCGAGTGTAAATCAATCTACAACGGAATGAATAAAATTTCGTGGTAAAGGGTATTGGTGTGGTTGAGGATCCGGAGGTGGAGGGAGTAAAATTGTTTACGATATGACATATGACTGTAAATTGCACAATTCCAGCAATCTAAAGTGAAGTCAGAGAGTGTAATGAAACAAAAATTAATCACCAGAATTTCCTTACGGAGGTAACAGCGAGTAAAAGTAATGCAAAATAACGAATTAGAGAAAAATCAAAGCGATAAGCGTGCAAAAAAGTGGAATTTACAAGTGAAATATTGGATACGAGTCCACGAATATTTAAAGAATTAAGAGAAAGTCTAGTACATAATATTCTGATAAAAAGTGCAATGTGAGACATGTATGTATGTATATACTGTGTATCTAGATAATTGATTAATATTGCTCACATCCGCTAATAAGCATCTGAAGGAAGACATGTCTTTACTGTATAAAATGTGTTATCCTGGTTGTAACAATTATTCGCAAATTATTTATTCAGGGTTATCAATGTGTATGTATATTATATATTTATATATACATATACAATGTATGCATAAAAATGATAACAGCAGAGTTTGTAAAAATTCCACATAATTATACCTAAAAAGCCTGCCCCCGCCCCCCACGTTTTGTATTATTTGTGATAAGGTTTCATGCACAATATTTTGTGCTTTCCCTATGGACATGTAGTATGTACAAACATGTATGTACATAGGTACTATATGCAACTCAATTTATATACGCACATGCACATTTATCTATGTACATACATGTCTGTGTTCGTAAGGAAAAGTAGCTTATGTCGAAATGCTAGCTTTAGTATAACGCGGCATTCCCTTTATTCTTTAAACGACAAGGAATTTTTGGATGAGACTTGATAAGAATTTTGACTTGCTAGTATCGGAACTCTTTATTGCACGTTTATTTGACAAAAGTTGTTCAACGGGTCATCACCAGTGAGTTATTCGCAATTGTATGCTGCGTATGCCGATTTATACTAAAGCCAGCCTTTCGACATAAGCTACTTTTCCATACGAACGCAGATATGAATGTATGTATGTATATAGGTACGCCACTGTTATACTGTGCCTGTTTTTAATAATCCCGTAAGTCTGGAAATCTTAGGCTATAGGTAGTGTGATGTTCAATTTTTATTTCATCTAATACGGTTTTCGCATTAGGCGATTTTACAGGCAAATTAGATAGATACGTATACGTATGTATGTATGATCATTTCGCTTATTTATTTATGTGCCGCTATACAATTGAGTCTGTTTGCGTGTATTTCGCAAACAATTATTTTTATTATTCCCTCCCTTTTATTAGCTCGGTATGTAACTATGTAATTTTGATGCGCCTAAAAGATGCAGCGATTTCTATTTTCAAGTTACATATATGATTCAATAATACAAGGTTATACTATGTTCACATATAAGTAGATTATCCTCATTTCCGAGCTTAACTCCTAATCTGTAGTAAGAAAAGGAGATTAGCCATAGAAAATTCTTCCCTTGTTAATCTGTAATTATAAAATAATCTCAGATTTAACCGATAACTTTTCGTGTCCAACCTAGTTTTACGATAGTTTTTGCGAAGAAGAGGAGAAATGCCAAATATAAAAGTAAACAAAAATGGACACTAGCAAGGAAAAGAGTGTTGTAAATGTATTTTTAATAAAATACTAAGTGGAAATATATTTAAATTGCTTAATATAGGACAAAAAAGTGAGCACGGTAACACAGAGAAGAAACATAACTTTTCCTTGAGATGTGAGAATAACTAGCACAACAAATTTGACGGCTAAAAATCTGAGATTTGCCTGTGTAATCGGGGTGATTAAAAAACGAGCTTTGATTGAGATAATATTTATATGTGGACATACTTTTAGATAATTATTGACAGGCGCGTTTTGACACTCCCTTACAAAAGGTTGCATTTACGAAGGACAGAGAAAGGGGAAGAAGAATGCAACCCCTTGTTGCTAAAATAATAGTAGAAAAGTACACAAGTACACTGTAGGTTTATAGAACCTTGTATTATTGAATCATGAGTTACATACCTGATGACAGTACGAATGGAAATTATAAAAGCGAGGATTTAGTTTTTTAAACTATAATTTCATTTCACCTAAATTTTGGCAGCTGAACTACAAATATACAACTTAACAGCTGATAGTTTAAACTCGGTTTAACCCTGCCAAAATGGGCGCTTATATGTAGTTTAAATAAGTTTTAATTTTACTGAAAAACTGCTCACTGAGTTTAAACTTAGTTCAAACGACAAACAGAGTTAAACTCGCACTGAAAAACTGGCCCATAGAGTAGGGTTGCCAACATTTTCTCAGAGATTTATAATACTTTTGCAAAAAAAAAAAATAAAAAAATATAGTACACTTAAAATATATATAGTATTTTTTTGAAGAAAATGTAAAAATGATTTTAAGTGTACATCTTTTTTCTTTCTTATGCTTTTCTCTATAAAAAAATATATTTCTTTGAAAGTAATATTTAAATAATTATAAATTAAAAGTTAATTTTTTATTAGTGTGATATTCGCTTTATTTCTCTCATCTCACCATTTCAAAATCTTATTAGAAAAAACTCTCTGTGAATGCCAAAGTAGCAGGAATAGAGAGCATTAGCGAAATAATTTTAAGTAAATTTGGTAAATCGTTCTAAGTATTTTTTTGATAATGTTGCCATTTTTGATCTCTGGACCCTTTGTTTTAAAGTATATTTATTTAAGTATTGATATTTCAGTATACATGTCATCCATTTTAAAACATTTCTTTCTTACAAATGACTGAAATATATTTATATTTATAATTGAAAATTATAGTATTTTTGCATTCCAACTGTATATAGTACGCAGACCCAAAATATAGTACAATACTATGTATTATAGTACGGTTGGCAACCCTATATTAGAGGCGATTAGTTGAATCAAAAGTTGGCTGCACCCAAACTTCATTGGATTAGTTGAAAATAGAGAAAATAAACGAGATAGCGGGACCCGCGGGTCCCTCGGTACTGATTTAAAATTGGCCGGGATGGGCGGTATCGGGAAGATCTGTAAAAATATGGCGGGCGGGACGGGACCAAAATCCTTTGCCGACACTCCCGATAAATCCGCAAACCCCCGCAAATTCACAAAATCTTCCTTAAAAACGGATGTTTTAAATATGCACTTTTATTGTTTTATTGAGACGAAAACGAACAGCAAACCAAAACAAAATAATCGGAAGATGCCAGATTTTTCATTATTATTTTTATTATTTAATATTAATTTGAAGAACATAAACATTTTTGTCAACCTTCGATCGGTTAGCAAACCACGCCACACGTTGAAATCTCAACCGAGCGTTTCAATTTGTTGTCCGTTTGTAGCCTGTTTTAGAGATAGATATCGGGACCCACGGGACCCGCGGTACAATTCTGAAAAACGTCGGGATGGGCGGGTTTGGTTCTTAAAAATCGAATTTCGGGCGAGATTAGGATTAAATATTTAGTCCCGTGCCCATCTCTTGTTAAAAATTAAATATTAATAAGCCACAATAACATTGTCAAATACAAAATTTTAATGTTCATACTAAAGTTTTCGTAGCTCTCTTTCGTTCTCACCCATATTTTAATACTGCATATCATGATAAAAATATAGTAAGGTAGAACCGCTGAGAGTCACTTTTAAAATTCTTGACGTTTCCAAACAATTTAATTTTTAAATTTACTCACAAACTCACACACACATTTTCATTTTCAATCTCAAGCAACAACAATTTCGAACAATTTCATTTTTTTATTTTCACTTTTATATGATTTTAAAATGTTGGCAAACTTCAAAAAAAAATCATGGCCGACAAATTGAGAGAACGGTTATACCTTGCTATGTTTTTATCATGCTGCATTATACTTGTTTTTAACTTAATTCTAATTTTAAAACAGGTGGCAACCCTCTTCAAAACATTTTCAAATTACTACCTTCTTAGACCCCTTTCTTCTGGACCCCTATGAAGAACATATTTCTATTACCCTTGTAAAACCCTTACCTAAAATTGAATTTGATTTCTTAAACAGGTCGTCGCCTCAGAAAACGGATGTCGAATGTGCAAAATAACGATTTTGGGATTTTGATGCAGATTTACTAAATTGTTTGATTTTTGGAATCCATTTTTTATATTTGGTGTGCATTTTGTCGTATGTCACATGCATAATATTAACGGTTGGGTATGCCTTTTGTGGTATATGCGCGTTGAAAATACGTCACATACGACAAATTCCCATACAAATGTAGTCTTTTTTAATCACATGACATTTGTCGTATTTATCGCAAAAGTTTGAACTTACGACAATTCGATGGAAACAATTAAAATTGGAAAGTAAACTAAGTAACTACTTTTTTTTTAGTCAATGTTATTGTGGCTTATTAACATTTTATTTTTAATATTTTTATTGAGCTACGTACAACGATTGTTTATTAGGAAAAATTAAAAAAGCAACAAAGTCTAAGTGGTAGAAGTAATACTTTTTATTTAAGTTTAACTTGAAAATTAAATTTTCTCATTAACGTTTAAAGATAATAAAAATATGGAAAATCAAAACTAATAAGACTAGCTACGTCTCCTTCAAAAATTACAAAAATCTACCGTATGGTTTCGGATTAATTCGACCTTAAACTTCAAAATCAATTTTCTCAAAACCGTGTTTTGTAATATACGGTTTCCGTTCTCCGAAGCGACGATATCAAGCCCTTTAATCTGACACCTCATTTTTGAAAATCGAACGAACGGTGCAGATCTGATGACCTGGACAAAAAATCTAGGGCTCGGAAAAATCGAAAATATGCGCTATAAACAAGTAGAATATGCAATTAAAATTATTTTACTAGTATTTTATTGCTGGTTGAGAAAAATTAACACGTGTATTTTAAAAATAATGAAACCAATTCACTTCAAAATACAATACATACTTATGTACAAAAATTACCCAGCGGTTGAAACTGAGTCCTGAGTTTTTAACACACCTCATGATTGCTTTTTCACATTGAAATGTCATTCTTACTGAACACCTGACGATAGCTAATATCCACGCCCGAATATCCCAAAGAGTATTCCTTCTAGAGTCCGACCGATTCCCGATTTTTGTCAGAAAACTACCTGAATATAAATTCATTCAAGAACAAATGTTTTTGATAAGCATCATTTTACACATTCGCTATCGACATTCGACATTCGATATTCGCATCAAATGATACGAATGTTTTGCGAATGCGAATGTGTACTTGGGCAGAGCACGAAGCACACAATCACAGCGTATCGCACATTTAACGGTTAGTATAGTCGTAGAAAACAGAAATACATAAGTATCGTCGATGTTTTTGCAAAACCGCCTATCTACCAGTTGCCAAACCGCCTAAATCGCCGTTGTGGCAAAAATGAGATTTGGTAACCCTGAACTCCAGTCATCGAGATTTATGCATAAAAATCGTTAAATCGTTATTAAAACAACACACTTGTAAAATAATAGCTAGAGAAAGTACCGCCTATCAAGGCACTGCCTTCAAAGAATAAACCGTTTTTTCGCTCTCTTGTAAAATTTGAGTGCCGTTAGATAGGCGGTTTTGCAAAAACATCGACGATATGTACTTATGTACATATGTATGTAAGTATGTATAGATATCTAATTGGGCGCCCGGCTGCATTGCAAACTCTCACACGACTAGGTTCAGACCAGGGAGGGAATTTCAAAACATCCAAATGTGCCTAATGGTATTCGAAAATAGTGCCGGAAAGAAGATGAAAGTGCCACAAAATAAAAATTGCTTTCTTTTAAGGACTTTTAAGAACAATATATTTTTAGAAATAGTACTTCTAAAATACACTGAAGTACTTAATACAATAATTATTAATTAATTAAATTATTACAGTAAATCACTTTGATGAGAGATTCCTTAGACATAAGTATATATGTATATATATATATAAATTCATAGTAAAATAACAAAGTATTTATTCCTGTTACCGAGGGGAAATACACCGAAATATAGCTATACTGACACTTTTACACATACATACATACATATATGTACCTATATGCGAAATAATGGCAGTGAGACATTTTGACCACTTTCGCCTATTCTTTTCATTGATGAATTTTTTATTGATTTTATATACTTAAAAGTCTAACCCATAAGGCAGCAAAATTACTTTTTTTGAAATAGTATAATACGCCCCTTTGGAACTTTGACTAAATAAACACTGTATAGGTTAAGCACTCGTTCAATGTTCTAATAATTTACAAAATTTGTAAGTAAATAAAAACGATGACCTAAAATGATTACTTATAGATATTTTAATGTTATTCCTAACATTCGTATTCGCATTCGCACATTCGCATTCCGAAAATTCGCATCGCTTATATGAAAAATATGACATTCGAAACATTCCTAGTATGTGCATACATAAATATGTATTAAAAGTGATATATCGCCGTCTTTTTAACCGACTTCGCAAAAAGGGGGAAGGTTATGAATTAGTCGGAATATTACTTTGGACCACGTTAACCGATTTCTAAAATTCTTTGTTTCAAAGGAGAGCTGTTACCTCACTGGTGGTCCCATTTTAATTCGGTTTAAATCCGATCATTGGATCATGAAGAGATTAAGGATAATCTTAAATTTGTATATGAGAATTGAAGTCGGTTTTGTTTTTTTTTTCTTAAAAATTACTTGTTCTTATTCAATGTTAAAAAAAAAATAGTTCATTCGTATCAAATTTCTTTTATAAAGAGTAACCGTAGATTTTTAATGATAAAAGTATTTTTGTAACGTAAACAATTTAACAATCCAGTGAAAAGAACCCGAAGGATTTAGGAATTCCGTGGTTAATTCAAGGATTTACGTAATAATACTTACAGTAACGACATTTTAGCATTCTTTGGATATTTCCTTTTTTCCTTTCGTTTATTTAATGTTTCATATTTTTTATGAAAGTGTAGCTTGTTATCAAACAAAAACCATGTTAGTAAAAATTTCAAACTTTTTCTTTAAACATTCTGGGTATGCAGTTTTGTAGCCCATTCAATTTTATTTTAATGAAGTGCAAATTTTAAGTAACTAGGACTTACTATTGATTTTTGGAAATTTTTTTGTAGTATTGTTTTGCGGATTTTCTCCATACAAAAAAATTCTCGCACACACTTTGTTCGGAAGAAAATGCGTGAACAAAAAATTATTAAAAATCAACATTTACCTACTTGCACTTTATTATACTAATGTTGAAAAAAACTGCGTACTCAAAAAAATTCTAAAAATCTGATTAACACTTTCTAATTTTGATGAACATTTGCGGAAAACGTAAAAAGAATCGACCAAAAATGGCCGATGCCAATGCCGATTAATCGGTCGGACTCTCCTCGTTGCCTCCCGCTATCCTCAAGAAATAGTGGAACGGGCATATATTTCTGTTGTAAGCATGGGTTGCCTTGTGCTGTTTTTTTCACAAAGAAACTTTAGAAAACCGTAGTAGAAAGTGTGAGTACAAAAAATAAAAAAATATAAATACCATGGGAAGTTTTCAAATGGAAATGCTTATTCTAAAACCACGTAAAAACTCTTGCCTGTGATTTCAGAGCTAACCAGATCTGATCACACAAGTGATTGCAACAGGTATACCAATTGTCAACCGCTGGGATTTGGCGAGGTATCCTAACATACATACATATGTACATACATACATACATACATACCTGCATTTGATAAAATGTCTTTTTTTTTAACGATGAAGTGATGAATTTGTGTACATTACGTAACAAAACAAGTTAATCAATTAAAATTGAATTATTGTAGTTTGAAAAAAAGCAAAATACATAGAATAAAACCAAGTGAGAAAAAGCGAAACCAAACAAAACATACATACCTACTACAGAAACAAAGTCAAATAAAACATGGGCAAGTTACTGAGTTTATTGGCACGCGATGATTCAAACTGCTGCGCAGCGAAATCGTACGACGTGTTCTTAGATTTTGAGAATGCCGCCCCAACTGAGACCGAGCGTGAAGTCTACGAGGAAGTGGAACGAGTTCTCAAGGAATCAGAGATTGTATTAGAAGAAATTCAAGTATATAAGGTGAGTCTGCAAAGATAGATACTATTTATACCTGTTAGAGTTGACATTTGTAAAATACATACATAAATATTTATTATAAGTACATACCATACACTGGTGGCCCGATAAATAGAAACCATTTGCTTTTTCAAGTTTTGCCCATTTATTTTTATTTATTAGTATTAATTTATTTTCTTAGCAAAAGCACTATGCAAGCTACCAACGGAAATCAAATAACTCAAAGTATTAAACTTTGTACAAGATAGATAAGAATTAGACAAAGTTCAAAAAATTACCATCAAAAGTTCAAACTTTTTAATCGGAGTTTTTAGAAAAAGTTCGGGTATGCAATTTTATATAGTGGTCTGAAACTATCGATAATCTTCTAAACTTGCAATTTGGCTTTAGACCGACAACGAAAACACTTTGTAAACGAGTTTTGGGATTGTGGGCTGAAAGCTGTTCACACCGGCTGTTAGTGTTTTCGTTTACATTTCTTAGAATAGGACTCCCTGATTTCAAAAATCTCCCCCTTTTTTCTAGCAACCCTATATTTTTTATATAATTTGTTGTTAGTTTTCGTATAAACGATGAATAAGATAACAAAATAACATCAAACTTGGTGCTACCAGACTGGAATTTTGAATAATAAAAGCAGAATTTTAATTCGGAATTTTCACTTAGTAGAATTCTCCTTTCTGTGTTGCCGAAGAAGTGGGGCTGAACACCTGTTGCAGAGAACACATTTCTGCGTAGTCGGCCTTCGGCCGCACTTAGGGATTATAACCCTCACTACGTAGAATTCTTTCTATTGTATCGTTTTGTACAGTATGGCAACAGATCTTATGTCATTTTGCAATCATGTGTTATTGTAAATATGGGTGCAATGTAATGTAACTTACAAGTTAATAAAAGTTGGATCAAAGTGATTTATATACAAGATAAAATAAAATAAAAGGCTTGGGTGCCGTTTAAATATTCATTGGCCCTAAATATGATAAAATATGACTTCCACTTCGATAAATAATCGAGAAAAAAACTATTGCAGACACCAATCGGAATGAGTGGAACATGAGCTTTCAGGTGATTTCCAGATATTTTATCATTCAATATCAGATATTTTATCATTCAATTTCAGATATTTTATCATTCAATATCTGATATTAGCCTTCTTTAGTTCTTGTCACGACTCTATACTTTTTTCACTTATCAAAGCACCCGCTGAAAATGCTGGTAAATATACGCTGCCGAACTATCTTTTATTAAAAGGTGCTGCCAGGTTGTGTCAAATGCACATGCAAATTGACAATCAGCAATAAAACAATAATAGGAGTGTTCGCTATGCAAAAATTTTTTACAAGTTGGTACCAATTTTCGCCAGTAAGAATTTGCAAGCAGGATTGTGGCACACGGTTGCATTTTTGTCAACATTAATTAGAATCAACGAGTTCGTTAAATTTAAAAATGAACAATCTTGTTGCGATTTACTAATGAAAGAAGTATGTTAATATTCGTTTATTCAATTAATTTAATTAATTCCAAACAATTGAAAGGTACTCGGATGAAAAAGCTGTATTCGTAATTGGAACGCACTCAACACCACTGTCGATATAGGAAACCCGACAGTGACTTCCACAATGAAATTGAAGCGTACGTTGAAGAAAGTCAGAATAAGAAGAAATATACGTATAGGTCCTGTTTTGGTTCCACCTGAATTAATTTAAAAAAATTATTATGCTCGAAATGCAACCGTGGACGCCAGCTGGCAGTGAAGCTTGCTAATGTTTGCTAATTCCTGTTCGCGCAAAACTTAGTAAGTTTCTCTCTTTGAGAGAGTAAGGTGTCTTGTTCTCTGAATTTTTTTACTGGCTAATTCTTACTGGTAGTTGCATAGCGAACACTCCTAATGTAAGAAAAACAAAAACTATCGATGGTGGTACGATAGTCAAAAACCATCGATAGTATCGATAGTGCCATCCATAGTTTCAGACAACTAGTTTTATAGTTATTCAAGTTTAGTATAATATGGTGGAAGTTTGAATGCGAATGTCTTATACCATTTTCCCACGGCATCCTGAATTAGTTTGTTCGCTCCCCCAGTTACGCGAATTACGCGAATTACCCGATTAATTCGATTTGACAGTTCTCTATCTCCGTGTTATATTTTTGTTTTTCTTCGCTGCAAAATTGATGCAAAATGTAGTTTCTGTATGTATGGCGAATTATGTAATTCGAAGGGTAATTGGTGCTTGTGAAAGTCGTATTAATGTCTTTTACATACAATGTGCGTTTGAAGTTTTTTTATATGGCCGAAAATGAGCAACACTGCCAACAAAAGAAATTTTAAAAAATCAACCAGATTTTAGAGCAAATTCAAACTTGCACAATATTATACTAAAATTCAATGGGCTACAAACCTGCATACCCGAATTATTTCTAGAAATATTATATATAGATTAAAATGTTTGAAATTTTGATTACAATTTTCTGAACTTTGTCGAATTGCCGAAATATGTGGAATTATCTTGTACAAAGTTTAAAACTTTGAGTTATATGATTTTCATGCATGCTAATAAACTAGTAAAAAAACGGACAAAACTCGTAAAGGCAAATCGTTTCTAATTATCGTGCCACCAGTGTATGGCAACATTTATTTATTTATTTATTTATTACAGTCATTTGACCTATATACATTCACGTATATACATTTGAATTATGTATTGCAATATACATTAAAAGTAAAGTTAAATTTACTGCTTAAAATACGTTAACCTTTTACATTTTTCCTTCTAAGCTATATAATAGTATGTATATTTAACTAAGATAGCATATTCTCGATGCTGTTGGAATGGACGGGATTCCAAGCAGTACCGTAAATATATGACGTACGATATGCGGTCTAAGAGTGTAATTTCCAGAACCGCCACAACTGAGCGGTTGGAAAGGACTAGTTTCCAAGCCGCTTCTTATAAACTTCTCTACCGGCAGGCGATCTGAATGGACGAAATCCAGAGTCGCGCCATTTTATCGGATGGAAAGGACTAGTTTCCATGCCGGACCTTTCTATCTGATATCCAATGTTCTACAGTGATCAAGTAGCAGCCTTTTGAAGGTACCAACGTTTTCGCAATTTTGTATTTGAGCTGGAAGTTCATTATAACATTTTAATCCCTTATAAAAGACATTCCTCTTATCTATTTCCGTTTTATACAGCGGCAGCCTGAAACGGGGCACCGAAATTGCGCATATGGAAACTGTGCATTTAGACATTATTTCGGTTTCAACCGAAACTGTGCATGCATGCATTATTTCGGTTTTCTAACGAAAGTGTGCATATGGATAATTTCGTTTTTTCTAATATGAATTATTTACTTCTACTTAGTAAGGGTTTTAATCCCTAAGCGCGGCTGAAAGCCGCCTACGCAGAGAAAAGTTCTGCGCAAAAATACGTCCGCCCTTCTTTTCCGGCAATACAGAAAGGAGAATTCTACTTAGTAAGGGTTATAATCCCTAAGCGCGGCCGAAGGCCGCCTACGCAGAAAGAAGTTCTGCGCAAAAGTACTTCCGGCCCCCTTTTCCGGCAACACAGAAAGGAGAATTCTACTTAGTAAGGGTTATAATCCCTAAGCGCGGCCGAAGGCCGCCTACTCAGAGAGAAGTTCGTTTTCATGTATGCACTATTTCGGTTTTTGTCATATGCATTACTTCGGTTTTGAGTCGAAACTGTGCATGTATGCATTATTTCGGTTTTTTTCGTATGCATTATTGCGGTTTTCAACCGAAACTGTGCATAAAATGCATTATTTCGGTTTTTTTCATATGCATTATTTCGTATGCACAGTTTCCATATGCACAATTTCAGGGTGCCGCCTGAAACTATTATTTCCCCTAAGTAAATACGAATCGTAGGATATCACTCAGATAATCTGGGAGTCTACCTTGTTTTATGTTAAACACGAATTTCATAGCGTGATAGAAAATTTGCTGTTACACGTTTCACTGACATTATCAGTGGCTGAGCGTGCTTTGTTAACTTTCAGAAGGTGTCGGGTGCGAAAGCCTATTTTTTCGAACCATGAAATAGCAACTTTAGATCTACATAGGTGTGCGATGTGTATATTACCCGGGTACCCGGTTACATCGGTTACCGTGTTACACATTTGTTACCGAGTTTGGTAAGGATTGGTGAATGGGCTACTGAGATACAGCATTTTATCATAAGTGAGCGTGGTCAGGCCCAGTTTCCAAGAATTTCATAATAATATTTTTTACCGAAATTCTACTTCACATACTAATATTCAACAATTTGGATCCAATATTTGCTGAAATATCGCAGTTCTTGCA